TATTAATTCATATTCAACTCTACAGTCTTTTCTCTTGTCTGACTCAACCATTAATATGGTAGGCAGGGTTTGTGGGGTAACTGCAGGCTTGAGCTACTTAACTAATCCTACAGACTTCACATTAAACAGTCTGATGGGAGGCTTGTGTATAGTGCACATGAAGTCACTGTCAGGTCAGAAGAAAACACCCATTCTTCTCATGTAGCATGCCAGAACTCCAGAAAATGTGTGTGACATGGGAGAAGATGAGAAAGACTTGGGAGAAGCCATTTTCCATTTCCGTGGATGGGAGTATTAATGGCCTTTTTCTGTTAGCTGATTATAGGTGCTCGCCCAGTTCTAACCCATTACACAAGATACTCTTGTCTATAGGAGAACACTCACTGAAAACTTACCATCTAATAGTAAATTGTAAAAGTGGAGTTTTTTCCTCATGGGTTGAGGTTTGCCAAGTAAGAGTACAACATTTTGTTTTGATGTGAACTAAGGTGTAATGTGGAAAAGCGTTACTATAAAGAATTAAATTACATGTAAATAGAGTTCTTAATTGGTCTAGATAATAAAAACCCACAATCAGATATAGGGAAAAATGCTGAGAGATCAGAGAGAAAGAGCAAGCCACTGCCACATCTTAACCTCTTTCGTTTTTTCAGCAGACAAGAGAGTGAGTTCCTGTTTCTCCCTGCTTATATCCTGTTTCTGCCCAGCTAGCTCAGTTCCTGTCTGTCTGTACCAGACCTCTATACCTCTATGGTTAGCTCGTGGCAAGCTCCATTCTCTGACCTTCAGACAGGCTTTATTTGTACAAGAAAGATACCACCACAGTCACACATACATGAGTCGTTGGGCCTTTCTCCAACCCAGAATTCCTGTATCACTGCAGTTAAGTTTTAAGGCTTGTTCTCACTATTCCCATATTCTAGTATCTTTGCATTGTTCTGTCAAAGTCAGTAATTTTGATACTATTCCTGTATAATTCACTGTTCCCTGTCTGTCTGAACCAAAACAAAGTAGACTGCACTAGAGGAAATCTATATTCATTCCAGAATGCTTCGTATGCCATTTTTTCCTGTTTTTTCCTTTTACCATGTGTGTGCATGCGCGTGGGGTGGGGGTACACATGTGGGTATGTGTGCACCTGAGGGTCTGATGTTGATGTAAAGAATCATCCTCCATCTCTCTCTTCCACCTTATTCACTGAGGCAAGGTCTCTCAGCTGAATCCTGAGCTCACAGATGTGGATAGTCTTGCTACCTGGCTTACTCTAGGGATCCCCAACTTCATATTCCCAGACTGGGTTACAGGTAGCTAGCTACAGTGCCTATCTGGCTTCTTGTGCTGTGTTGAATGACTGCTACACTGAAAAAGAAATGGAGCAAGAAAAAAAAAATGTGATATTTTTAAAATTAAGAATATTTACAGGTTTAAAATTATTCAGTTTTAGCCTTCAGTATACAAATAATCTTGATTTCTTTCAAAGTCACCAGGTCACTATTTCCTTCTCAGTTTTATCCCCCTTTTCCTCCCTCCTCTTTTTTCCTTTCTGACCAACTTTATTTTAATCTAATTTACTTTTTTAAATGATCGATACTATTAACAGTAAACCCCAATAACAAGAGAGCACTTCTATTATACATTGGCTGTCCATGTCCTTCAGTATCTTAGAATTCTGCTCTCTGTTTATTTGCATGCCTGGACCACATTGCCTACCTTCAAGTACATGCCACAGTTCTAGGAGTGCATTTTGGAGTTCACTGATGTATTGTTTCCCCCACCCCATCCCCTGTACTCTGAAACTCTTCATCCCTTCACTAGAGCACACCTGAAGTAAGAGAACCCATGGCCTTATCTATTCTATTTTTGCCTTCATCTTGACCAGCTGTGCTGTTAGTTAGCTTGGTTGTTTTGGACATTTTCTTTCTGGAATAAAATTTGTATAATTTTAATTAGGTAGATTCTTACCCTAAACTCTTGCCATGCTATAATCCTTGCTTGCTTTGGGGAAAAACTGGAGACTTTGAACCAGGTTATTTTGACAAGCTTTTAAGAATTTTTTTAATTTATTTATGTGCATGAGTACTTTGCCTGCATGTATGTCTGTACCATTTACAAGCCTGGTGTCCACAGAGGCCAGAAGAGGCCTTCAGATCTCCTGGAACTGGAGTTAGACAGTTGTGAGTCACCAGGTGGGTGCTGGGAATTAAACCTGGGTCCTCTAGAAGAGCAGACAGAGCACTTAACCATTGAGTCCCCAAGCCCTTTTCTCAAACCCATTGGCCATAATATAAAAGTTTCAAACTTACTGGTTTTAATGCAAGAGATTCAAGTCTACTGGCCTGGCTATAAAAGATTCACACTCATTGGCTGCATGAAAAAGATTACGAACTTAACTTCATGTAAATTAAGATAAAAAATATACCATAAAGATACAAATGAAATAATACAGATGACAAATGAAACAATAATTACAGCTATGTGACTAGTAATTGATGTTGCATCTCAGATAAAATCTATAGCTCAATAGAAAAAGGACCATAAACTAACAAAAGATAGATAATAGTCAGTAAACAAGAAAGATGCTCATCTTTATTAGTAGTAAGGTATTTTATCATAAAGGTATTTTTTTTCTTCCAAATGAGTACATTTTAATAAGTAATCTGCTTAATGTTTGGAGGATGTGATGAAGTAACAGCCAGAGATGGTTGTGATGTATATTAATTATCTGTTGTGATTCAAACTATGCTACATTTTTCAGCTTAGCACAACAAAGATTTATTTTCTGTTTCCATGGACCAGGAATCCAGGAGCAGCGTCCTCATGAGCTTTTAGTCAAGCCGTCAGCCAGGCCTGCAGTCACTGGAAGTAGGTGGTCCACTTGCAAGGCCTCTCACATGGATGTTGGCTGTCCCTGTTCCTTACTGCCTCATGGCCAGAGACAGCAGTTCCTCAAGAGCTCCATCATCCATTCTCACCTAGTAATTCCTCCCTCAAGCAAGTGATCTGAGAAAGAAAGCAAAGAAAGATCCCCTAGTGTCTCAGTTCTTGACAAGACACACTCTCACTGCCACATGCTGTTGCTTACACAGTCTAGTCATGAGTATAGAATGAGCAAGTACCACATAAAGGCACAGCTACCAGGAGGCAAGGAAGGACCCATGGAGCCCTTCGGGGCTGGCTACCAACATGCCTTTATTGGGAATAGATGTCTGGGTATTTATTTCTTTGTGTCAACTGGATATAGAAAGATCCACATGATGTGTATTGTGGCTTGGTGTACAAGATAGCTATGCCCCTCTGCTGTCTGGCACTCAGGTAGAATGGCAGAAACACCTGGAGATCAGGGGAATATCTTTCACTCTGTGCAAAGTTTCCACATGGCTAGTGTGTGGTTGATCTTACTTGTTTGTTTGTTTGTTTGTTTGTTTGTTTGTGAAGCTAATAGTGAGGCCAGGAGTTAAAGGCCAGCCTAAGCAACATACATAGTATGACCCTATCTCAGAAAGTAAGTGTGTGTGTGTGTTCAAATACATAGGGTCATACTATCTCAGAAACAGAAAGTAAATGTGTGTGTGTGTGTGTGTGTGTGTGTGTGTGTGTGTGTGTATCTATGAGGTAACTTGATGATACGATAGAAAACAGTTCCTATCATGAAGAAACTCATTTTCATTGTGTGAGATTAACATGTACATAAGCCCTTTGAATTGTAACCTGCCTTTCTAGGACTATGTGAAGAATTTTGATAAGCTGAGCTTGATGAAGCATGATCATACTTCTAATACTTGAGAGGTGGAGGCAGGAGTTATGTGCTACCTTACTCCTTGTCTCAAAAGAAAGAAAGAAAAAAGGTTCGAATTAAACTACAGTCAGAGGGAACTTCTTCTTTAATCAAAAGAGTGATGTAACTGTAATGATGCTTGGGAAAGATGAATTTAGCAGTGCAAGGAGTAAAAGAGGAAGGGGAGGCAGAGCCTTCCATGGAAGCATGCCAAGCCCTATGTACATCTGTGAGTTAAGTCCTTGGAAGCTGAAGATAATGTGGCTTCTGGTTTGAGTCTAGCCTCAAGTCTAGAACAAGCCACAGGAAAAGACGTGTGATAAATTGAGAATTAGTGAATTATAACTGGCTGAAGTTATTAGAGGAAAGCTGGCCTAAATTAGTGAAGTCTCTCAGATTGAAGTTGTTATAGTCAGAGGTGAAAGAATATGCTATTAGTAGGTGATAGACCTGTAGAGACTGGACCCTGCTCACTAAGGACTTGTGAAAAATGCCTTCTTAGTTTCTTTTCTGTTGTATTCAACATTTTTCTTTTTGAGACAGGGTCTCATATAGCTGGGGCTAGCCTTAACTCCTGATCCTTCTGCCTCTGAGTTCCAACTGGTAGGATTACAGATGTGTACCACATCTGGATTTGTGTAGGAATTTCAAAAACTTTTTTTTTTTTTTTTTGAAATTCCCAAATTGGGAGAAATTCCAGTGCTTCTTTATGGTGAGGTGGGCCTCAGCTTCATGTGAAATGCATTGACGGAGCTAACAGACACATGGGCAGATCAAAGGTGGCAGTTAGGATGGCTTCTACAAGCTTTTGAAGGAAGAGCCTTTTACCTATTCAGGTTTTTCTTCTGGTCTTCTTTTATTTTATATGTGTAGGTGTTTTGCTAGCATGTATGTCTGTGAACCATATGTGTACAGTTTCTTCAGAAACCAGAAGAGAGCATTGGATCCCCTAGAACTGGATGGTTGTTAGCCTGCCTATTAGGAGCTGGGAATTGAACCCATGTCCTCTGGAAGAGTAGTCAATGCTTTTAACTGCTAAGAAATCTCTACAACCCTTTGATCATGTTTTTAAAAATAAAAATATTAAATATATTGGCCTAGTCTCAGTGAACAAAAAGCATGTACTTGGTCCTCATTGTCTTGTTTCATGGTATCTTTGTAATATTCATTTTGTTCTTTTAATTGCAAGGTATTTGCTTTTAAAAAAAAGTCTTGTATATTCCAGGGGCTACGTTAAGTATGAGGCCTGCCCCAATCCCAATAGAGGACCCTTCTTGGAGACAAACCCCTCCCCCAGTCTCTGCCACACCTGGAACCTTCCGACTCCGGCGAGGGAGGAATGGAGACAAACACCTCCCCCAGTCTCTGCCACACCTGGAACCTTCCGACTCCGGCGAGGGAGTAGATTTACCTGGAGAAAGGAGTGCCTAGCTGTTATGGAAAGGTACGTCTCCTATTCCTGTGAGATCCCCTCCGAGACCAATTTCATTTCCAGCAAGTAGTCTGAGGTCCAGATTCTAGCTCTGCAGATATTATGCACTATTAGAATTGCTCTGTTGTTGAAATAAGAGAACTCACAAAGTTGTGGTCAGCATCTATCGGCCTATTTTACCTACATGCAATTTAATGTTGTCATCAGTAACATAAAAGTCTTTAGAGTTAAAATTTTTAGATGTGTACCTTTCTATTGTTTTGAAAAAGTTGTATGAAGTCTTTATTTATCAGTGCTGAACAGTAAAGGAGGGCAGTGATACTTTTCTGCAACAGGGGAATGATCTCAATGAACGAATCCCCAAAGGTTTAAAAATATATTTAATAGAACCTGATCCATATCTGGTTTCTGTACGTTTTGACAGCTTCATTTTTCCCTTCTGACATGGTATAAATACATGCTTATAACACCTTGCTGTATTTGTATATATTCTAATTGTCCTTTAAGTACCTTGCCCCCCCCCACCACCACCACACACACACACCCCTTTCGTAAGTGACATTTATAGGACTCTGATTTGCTGGAGAGGTTTACAGGCAGCAGGACCATTCTTATCTAATGTGACCACTAGTGTGGCATCCTGGATAGAATACTTGATGTGGATTCAGAAGTACCAAAACCTGATCAGGCTTTGATCAGGTCAGAGACCCAAACTGTATCTTCCTTGTCTGTAAAATGACAATGTCAGTAGCCAGCAATATGTTATCCAGGATGCTTGACATCTTTCTTTCACCTACTTCATTGCTGTTTCCCAGTGCATTGACATCACTACCAGAATGAGGACAAGCTGTTTGTTTGTTTGTTTGTTTGTTTGTTTGTTTGTTTTTTCGAGACAGGGTTTCTTTGTAGTGTTTTGGAGCCTGTCCTGGAACTCACTCGGTAGACCAGGCTGGCCTCCAATTCACAAAGATCCTCCTGCCTCTGCCTCTGCCTCCCAAGTGCTGGGATTAATGGCATGCGCCACCAATACCCGGCTAGAATGAGGACAGGCTTTACAATGTTGAAGTTCAGATGATATAAGTGAAGTGAATAGGTATGCAAAATGGAACTGTCGGTTATCTACTGCTGTGAAGTACTCTCACTCACTCTTGACTGTGGCTAAGAGTAGAGTCATGTGTTTAATGATGAGACTCATGTTCTGGGGATCTGATTGCAGTCTGCTTCATTTCTCTCATCTGTAAAGTTTGATTCTTTCCGAAAGTTTGTTTCAAAATTTCCACATAGCAAATGGGAATGAAAATAAGCAGAACTTAAATTATTCACAGCATTTTATATTTTCTTCTGGGTAACACATTTTGATATTACTTTGTGCCTAGTATGGGTTCTAATTACACTGATGATACAATGTTAAATTTCTCGTTACAATATTAAAGTACATTTGTCATGTAAAGTCTATGAGAAGGAATTAAACATTAGAACACGAAAAGAATAGGTAGCATTCTTCATGTGTTTTAAGAATCGAACCTCGGGGCCGGGCGGTGGTGGCACACGCCTTTAGTTCCAGCACTGGGAGGTAGAGCCAGGCAGATCTCTTCGAGTTCAGACCAGCCTGTTCTACAAGAGCTACTTCCAGGACAGCCTCCAAAGCCACAGAGAAACCCTGTCTCAAAAAACAAAAACAAGCCGGGCGTTGGTGGCACGTGCCTTTAATCACAGCTCTCAGGAAAACCAAAAACCAAAAACCAAAAAATAATAATCGAACCTCATGGACTCAGAGACTGGATTTCCCTTTACTTCTGAAATTTTCTTCCAGGGCAGCAATAGCCAACTGTAGAATCACACTGATTAAACTTTAAACAAAAAGATATACAATATTTTATCCTTTTGTAAGATTCCTATTTAGGAAATAGGAATTTTTTTTTTTTTTGAACCTATCCTGGCACTCGATCTGGAGACCAGGCTGGCCTCGAACTCAGAGATCCGCCTGCCTCAGCCTCCCACGTGCTGGGATTAAAGGCGTGCGCCACTAACACCCAGCTAGTTCTAAATATTTTTAGCCTCAATTTTTACTAATAAATATCTTCACCCTAGGACTTAGTTTTCCCTGGCATCATTTCATCTTCCCCGGCACAGCTAGAGAGGGTGTGGCTCAAGCCTGAGTTCTCATAAATGCTGAAAGCCTTTCAAGCATCAAGTAGCAATTGTCTCAATGATCTGCATCCTCCAGAAATGGAGTTTAGTATTCTCAGAAATGGAACATGAAATCCTCTGGCCTTAGAGTAGCATGTCATGCTTTTTAGCATAGCCTGAATGTTTGTATAAATACATAGCCCAGCCAAGTAAACCATATGCAAATATGTTAGTATAGGATAAAAGTAAATCTATTCCATTCCTCACACCATATAAGAAGATAAATTCCAAATCAATTAGAGAAGTGAATTCATGTATATAGAAGAAGAAAACATAGGGTCTCCCTTCATATCCTGGAAATGGGAGAGATGTTTCCTAACTGAGCCTCACAATCCAAAAGCAGAAAGGAAACGATGGGTAAATATAAATGTAAAGACCTGCTGGGGTAAAACTAGGCAAAGTAGTAAGGTAAGTTGGAATAAAATATTTGCAAGTTGTATCACTCTTAACATGTGAAGAGTTCCTAAATGAGGTAAGACCAACAGCCCTACAGAAAGATAGGCTAAAGGGAGCAGCACACATACAAAAGTCCTAAAGTTATTGTTATTAATACTTGTTTTGGTTTTCTTGAGACTGACTTTAACCCTGGCTAGCCTTCAACATGTGGCAGAAAACAAGAAAATCACTGTAATATAGATCAGAACACTGACAACAGCCAGAATGTTGTCAGTGGTGGTCTGGATGAGTAAGTATTAAAAACAAAAAGGCCATAGACATGACTCAGCTGGTAAAGCACTTACTTTGCAAGCTTGGCAACCTAAGTTCAATCCCTGGAACCTACATAAAGGTGGAAGAGAGAGCCACCTCCACAAAGTTGTCATATGACCTCTATACACAAGTATAAATGCACTTAAAACAAATAAACAAAAAATAACTTTATTGAGATAGAGCTCACTTGTTGAAAGTGTGTTTTAAAGCCTTGAATGTAAACAGCTTTCACAATATCTACTTTATTATGTCCCAGAACCTTAGTGTCTAACAGACGTTACCCTCCTTTTCTCCCATCCCTTTTTAATTCTGTATAACCATTGATGTGTGTACAAATTTACCTGCTCTGGACAGTTTAATCTTACGAGTGAATCATAGGAAGCCAGGTTAGGAGGCTGTTGGGATAACCTGGGCCTGAGTATTGAGGGCCTAAATGATAGTAAAAATGACAGAGGAGTAAGATATGAATAAAAGCACAACTGTCAGAAAGGAATCTGAAGAAAGACAGAGTATAACTAGCTGTAGGGTGAACATGGGAATGACAGCAGTAAGAGCATAAAAGGACCTTAACTTAGTGATGGTCAGGGCACTCACCAAGGTAACAGTGTCTGTACCATTAGAAAATGGATTGGTGTTGGAGAACCATCCAGCATCCCTAGACTCCAGTTCTTGTGTTTATAAGATGAAAATTTAAGTGTAATGATAGAATAAAAGAAGATAAACTTTAGAATTGGACAAGGTTGTTATCCTAGCCCTTCACCCAATCCTTAAATCATGGGCACCTTAGGGTCTTGGTAAGTTGAGATGTAAAGGTTAATGGAGATACCTATGGAGCAATAGTAGAATGCCTCACTGGTAGTTAGTGCTGAGAGTGTGTGTTTTCAGAGTTAGCCTGTTCCAGCATTAAGTATGAAGTTACTTGAGATGACTCTGAGAAAGTTGTCATGGCACTGGAAATGGGAACGCCATCATTAAGTTATTTACAGCTCAAGCTTCGGGTACAGGTGATGTCTGGTTACATATTTCAACTTACACAGTTTCTGTGTGTGTGTGTGTGTGTGTGTGTGTGTGTGTGTGTGTGTGTGTGCCTATAGTAAATGTAGCTAGAAGAAACCCTTAAAACCCTGCTGATTTACCTCATTTTAAATTCATGACCATGAACCTCAAGTAAATCTTTAATTCTGTCAGGCACTCATACTTGTCTTCCTGGCTTGCTCTTTCCTCTTTCTTAAAATTATTTTACACTTTATTTTCTTCCTGAAAACTTCTCAACCTCTTTCTCTTGTGTTGACTCTGCTTTACATTTGACTGAGAAAACCAAAGCACTTACAGGAGAATGTTCACAAACTACAGCCTGCTAGCGTGTATACTCATGTGCAGAGAATTGTGCACAATTTTCGTATGCCTTGCCACACCCAAAGCAGCTCAATGCTGTATTTTCCCCCAGGACTTACCACAGTGTTTTGTTTATAGTAGATGGTCATTATATGTTAACATGTTATGAATGTTGCTTTTTTTTCTTTGCTGACCTCACTGTATTCCCTATCCTATGTACATGATTTTTCCAGTATTGGCTCCCAGAAACATTGATTATCACAAGGGGCAATATTATGTGGTTCTATTTATAGGGAGATCCAGAATAATCAAATCAGTAGAAAAAGATCATACTTGGTATTTGCTCACACTGGGGAAGATAGAGACTTGGAGGCCAGGAAACAGCAGAGGAGCATATTACTTTTATGAATATACTGAAACATTTCAAATATTTAAATTGTTCCACATGTGAGTCTCACCTCAACAAAACTGCACATAAAAAAAGGAAAACACCATTAGGAGCATACCCTGTTTAACCCCCACAGTTGATCCTAATTGCGGTCCTTTTCCAAATGAGGCAACCAAGGTTCAAGGGGGTTAGATGGCTTCCTAAGGCCATAAATCCAGTGAACAGCTGAGCTACATGTGTCTCTCTAGACAGTGTTAATTGCATATAAGTTACTAGTCCTTGAAAAGAAAGGCATTTTCTTCCGGGTGTATGCAGTTGCTCTTAGCACATCATCTATGCCTTGGTTACTCAAGTCTTATGCCCCTGGATTAACATCTCTTTCAGCCTTTTG